AGCTCTGTAGCTTTAGCTTTAGAGACACATTAGCTCTGTAGCTTTAGCTTTAGAGAAACATTAGCTCTGTAGCTTTAGCTTTAGAGACACTGTAGCTCTGTAGCTTTAGCTTTAGAGACACATTAGCTCTGTAGCTTTAGCTTTAGAGACACATTAGCTCTTAGCTTTAGCTTTATATACACATTAGCTCTGTAGCTTTAGCTTTAGAGACACATTAGCTCTGTAGCTTTAGCTTTAGAGACACATTAGCTCTGTAGCTTTAGCTTTAGATACACATTAGTTCTGTAGCTTTAGCTTTAGATACACATTAGCTTTTTAGCTTTAGAGACACCATAGCTCTGTAGCTTTAGCTTTATATATACATTAGCTCTGTAGCTTTAGCTTTAGAGACACATTAGCTCTGTAGCTTTAGCTTTAGAGACACATTAGCTCTGTAGCTTTAGCTTTAGAGACGCATTAGCTCTGTAGCTTTAGCTTTAGATACACATTAGTTCTGTAGCTTTAGCTTTAGATACACATTAGCTTTTTAGCTTTAGAGACACCGTAGCTCTGTAGCTTTAGCTTTATATATACATTAGCTCTGTAGCTTTAGCTTTAGATACACATTAGTTCTGTAGCTTTAGCTTTAGATACACATTAGCTTTTTAGCTTTAGAGACACCATAGCTCTGTAGCTTTAGCTTTAGAGACACATTAGCTCTTAGCTTTAGCTTTATATACACATTAGCTCTGTAGCTTTAGCTTTAGAGACACATTAGCTCTGTAGCTTTAGCTTTAGAGACACATTAGTTCTGTAGCTTTAGCTTTAGAGACACATTAGCTCTGTAGCTTTAGCTTTAGAGACACATTAGTTCTGTAGCTTTAACCTTAGATACACTGTAGCTCTGTAGCTTTAGCTTTAGATACACATTAGCTTTAGCTTTAGAGACACCATAGCTCTGTAGCTTTAGGTTTAGAGACATGTTAGCTCTATATCTTTAGCTTTAGAGAAATGTTAGCTCTATATCTTTAGTAGATAATATTCAATTAAAAAATGCATTTAGTAACTTTTCATCTCCTTCATGTGGCGTAAGTGTTTCAGTATCATGAGATGAAAACAAAACGCTACAGTCACTGTAAATCCTCATAATTAAACCGTCATACCGATCATGCCGAGCCTGTTGTAGCTGTTAGTTCAACTCCCCTATACCCCTTAAGGCTTTCTGCTGCAGGTAGGACACTGACTACTCAGAAACCTTTAAAACAGTGCCTTAGCCTCTATTTGCAACGTTCTGTTGAGGACGTTGCTTTGCTTTCTGACGTCTTGGTGAAGACTTGTTGGGTCGTATCTGAACAACTTCCTGGTTGAGCCCGGCAAGGTGCGGCGTTTTTGCGTTTACACTTCAGACCAGAATCACTTTTCACCCTCTGGGGTGTGAAAGGCGTTCCTGCGAGCTGATTATCAACCGAAGAGCTGTGGAATGTGACGCTCCGCCTGCGCAGGAATCTGACCTGCAGCTCCCTGTGGGTCGGGTGGAGCCTACGGCCGCTGATGTTCCCTCAGCCGCAGACAGGAAGTAGCTCAAGGTTCAAGGTTCTTTATTGTCATTCGCATCACATGTTGTACATCTCAAGGTCCCAGTTACACCCGAAAATAACAAAAATATAAGTATCAAAAAAAGAAACAATATTCAAGGATCTAAGACAAACGCTAAACAATAATAATCTGCTATAATACAGTGGATTAAACAGCAGCCTGAACATGAGTCTGTTGTGAGCAGATGGGTATGAATACAGCAGCTTAAAGGCAAGAGATCAACAGCAGAAATCAGACCCTCTACTTCCTGTTCAGACTGTCGAACCGCTGAAGTGACCCCTCCTGGTGGCTCTCACAGACATGAGCTGAAGAACCTGCAGGTTCTGCGAAACAGCCCGAGAGTGGAAATAAGCTGAAGAACGTAAAACTGAAAAAAAAAAAAAAAAAATTAAAGGAGCAGAACACTAGCTAAAGAAAGCAAATCACTAGCTAAAAATCCTAATAATAAAAATAACTAAAAGTTAAGAAGACAGGACACTAGCTACCGTCAAACACTAGCTAAAAGACTAAGATAACTTGCTGAAAGAATCAGGAGACTAGCTAAAAGAAGCAGGAGACTAGCTAAAAGAAGCAGGA